GGTGGGCTTCAGACAACCTTAGCCAGGCCTAAAAATGGTGAGCACGCATATGCATCCCTTGTCTCTTTATACACAGAAAGGGGAAGGGGTGCCAGAAAGAAGTTGTATGAACAAATAGCATTTGGAAGTAAAATGCTTAATTCTTCCACTCCCTGCCTTTTAAAGTCGTCTACAGAGTCTTCTATGAGGCCTGTGTATTGCTTTAGCTAGAGCTCTGCCTCCCCAGCGCTGGGATTATAGCCGTGGCCCTCCACGGCTGGACAGAACTTCCTCTCTGTTTCTGTATACAAATCCTTTCCAAAGTGAAGAGCCGCTGGCCACCTTCACAAGCCAGGAAGATCCTTTTCAAGGACCTAAGAGCCATCTTCCTGCCAGCTGTGATCATCACTTGTGTAAAGCAAAGAGACACAGCTGGTCACCCTGATTCGGGACAAACCGTGTGACAAAATGCAATGTGTACTTACCTGAAGACTGCTTGTCGCTTACAGAGTGGATCTGCTTGGCCCTCAAAGGCTGTTTCTGTCTTTGTGATCTCTTTAGCAGACTGCCTGGGCTGTGGCCCCACACAGACTTAAAGGCAATGTAATGAGAAAACCATCCTCTTGGGCTGGAGAGATGGCTCAGTGGTTAAGAGCATTGCCTGCTCTTCCAAAGGTCCTGAGTTCAAACCCCAGCAACCACATGGTGGCTCACAACCATCTGAAATGAGGACTGGTGCCCTCTTCTGGCCTGCAGGCATACACACAGACAGAACATTGTATACATAATAAATAAATAAATATTAAAAAAAAAAAACGTCCTCTTGGTTACATTTCGTGTGCAAGTCTCCTGGGTTGGCAGAGGGCTTTGTTATCACTGTTTCCTTGGCAAGGTCACACGGAACTGAGTCACAAGGGAAGTGCCTCGTTGTGGAGGAGGTACTTCCCCACTGGCACCCTTGGCTTCTAGGACTCAGTACACGTCCTCCTGCTGAGTCTCTGAGCTCTGTGACAGCAGACCCTGTGAGAGCGTCATTTTCTAAATGTTCTCAATAACTAGCAAAGAACCAGGAATAGGGTGGGTAGTCAGAGAAGGTTGAACTGCTTGAGTTGGGGCGATTAGATAATCCTGTTACAGTTTCAGAGTCTGAGTTTTTAACGATCTGAAATTTATCCCTATTGGAATTGGAGATGGGGTAGCATGCTTACCTGGAACCCACAAGGCCCTAGGTTCCATCCCCAACACCACCAAATAAACAAGCGTCATTTAACTGCTCCGTGAAATTGAATTGCCGTCGTGAAGGAGTAAGAGGATGGACACTGAATGGGGACTCTGGCACTCAGAGTCTGGACTTTTGGAAAATAACGAGAATTCACTAAGATTGTTAGGGTGGGCCTTCCATGATTTACAAGGACAGGAAATACAGACGGGACACACAGGTATGCTGTGTGTCTCCAGTTATCTAAAGTGCCAGCAAGGAAGCTACCCCCAGGCATGGTTTCTCCACCTTGTGCCTCCAGGGCCGTGAGCTTGGACTCAAGAAGACTGGGGTGGAGAGCAGGAGGAATTCAGCAAGGCTCAGCATGAGTCCCAGTTTGCCCGTGGCTTCTGTTTAAGTCCCAGGTCACCTGTATGGTGAGACTGGGATGCTGGCTAAATGATATGAAAGGTCTTCATAACGATGACGGCTACCACTTATGCTCCCTTTGCCATAGGCTGAGAAGGGTTATAAGTACTTTCCACATGGAAAGTTATCAATCTAGGCCAGCGGTTCTCAACCTTCCTGATGCTGTGACCCTTTAATAGAGTTCCTCGTGTTGAGGTGACCCCCCCCAACCATACAATTATTTCATTGCTACTTCATAACTGTAATGCTGCAACTGTTGTGAATTATAATGTAAATCTCTGATATGCAGGATATCTGATATGCCACCCCCAAGGAGGTCACGACCCACAGGTTGAGAACTGCTCGTCTAGGTCCTCCTCACAATCGCTCTGTTTTACCCAGCTATTGAGACAGAGGGAGGTGACTGAGACAGAGGGAGGGGAGTTGCTCAAAGCCAGAGAGCTTGCTTGTGTGCAGCAGAGCTGGGGTTGTAGTGGAGAGAGTCTGGTCCCAGGTTCTATTCACTAAAGAGTCAATCTCTGACCAGGCACATTATCCCCTGGGGTAGTTTGAGTGAGAATGTCCCCCTCCCCATAGGCTCATGTACTTGGACACGTGGTCCCTAGTAGCGGTGCCGTTTGGGAAGGTTATGGGACTTTTAGGTGCTGCAGCCTTGCTGGAAGAAGCGTGTCTCTGGTGGTTGGCTCAGACAGTGCATAGCCTGACTACATGTCCGGTTCCTTCTTTGTTTGCCTCCTGCACGTGGGCGGACATGTGGTGTCTCAGCTTCCCGCTCAAGCCACCTGCTGCTGTTCTGTCTCTGCCATGACAGACTCTAGCCCTCGAGAATGCTGAGCACAAATAATCTGTTTCTTCTGTAAATTGCTTTCTGCCGTGGCATTTTAGCACAGCAACAAAGAGTAGCCCCTGTTTCTAAGGAAATCCGCTCTCCCAGCCTCGTCCTGTCCAGCAGCTGCTCAGGCTGTGCTCGGAGCACTTCCCTGACCAGCCTCCACTGGATCCTTTCCTGTTCTTCACAGTTGCTTTCTTTCTACCTCAGTTCTAATTCCTATTAACAGCCCAAGGGTGACTGTCAAAGCCCCCAGGAGCCCCAGTGCTATGGGCACTCCAGATGAAGCCTTGCTCTGTGAGGATGTTGGCCTAGAGGTCTGGACAGCAAGAAAAGACTTCAGTGGGACATGAGCCCAGCTGTGAGAGGGACCACAGGCAAGAGGGATAGGTCTGAGATGTCAAGGACCCACCCTACAGGGAACACTGACACCTGGGGAGGCTGGGACTTCTCTGGACCACTGGAGTGTCTGCCTGGGTCTCTATTGATGGGTAGATGCTTCTGTACCTTTGGGCATGGCCAGGGAAATGGACTGAACCCTCATCATCTGGCACTCATTCCCTGGGGGCCCCGGAAGCATTTATTGAGTATCTTCTGTATGTCTAAGGCTGACGAATGAAGTCCAGCTGATGTTACACATAGGGACGCCCTGGACATTTACCTGCCCACCCCATGGCTGGAGCCTCTCACTTACTGATGTGGGAATAGTTTCTTATTAATAAAGAAACTGCCTTGGCCCATTTTATTGGATAGAAAATTAGGTAGGCGGAGTATACAGAAGAGAATTCTGGGAGAAAGAAGGTTAGAGGAGGAGTCGCCATGATGCTCCCACTCCAGACAGATGCAGGTTAAGATCCTCTCTGGTAAGCCAGCTCATGGGCTACACAGAATATTAGAAATGGGTTAGAACAATATGTAAGAGCTAGCCAATAAGAAACTGGACCTAGCCGGGCCAGGCAGTGTTTGAAAGAATACAGTTTCCATGTAATTATTTCTGGGTATAAGCTAGCCATGCGGGCGGCCGGGTGCCGGGGACGCAGCCCTGCCGCTCCTATTTCAACAGATGGCGCCCAACGTGGGGCTAAATCCACTTAAAAACCTGAGAAGCCTTAAAAATAAGGGAAACAGAGTTTAACACAGATTTTTGCTGTTTTGTTGGTGACATGCTGTAGAGAGATTCCTGATTCAGCAACAGCAGCAGAGAAAAAAAGCTGCGTCATTTTAAAGCGCGGCTTCCTGGTGCTATGCTGCCAGCGTGAACTCTGGCTTTAAAGCATTTCAAGGCTTTTATGGGACTGGATGTTTCTGTTCCCACTTGGGATCGGAGGAGATTGCTCTGAGACCTGCCGATGGCTCAGCGTTCCCTGCCTACACCTGGGCAGATGGCGGAATCAGGCTTAGGCAGGCGGAAGAGCATGGCGGATTCCTGCTGCCATACAGAGACGCGTTTTCAGACTGCGCAGTGCTCTGCGTGTCAGATTTGGCTGTAACTTGGATAAAAAGAGTTTCTGTGCTGCACACTCAGTCTCAAAATTAAATTGCTGATTGCGGCTCCAATGTAAACTGCTGTTTGCCTGTAACTGTGCTCAGCTCAAAAGCACCAAATGACTCTGAGGCAGGAGCGGCTGCTCCTTGCTGAACTGTGCTGATCTCAGGCAGGAACTACCGTAATTACCTTAAAACCGTGCAGTTAAGGTTTAGACTGGGCAGGACACAGGCAGTACCGTATTACCTATACATGGTGCAACTTAAGTTTTTAAGAAATGCTTAACATTTTAAGAAATGCTCCTGGAAAAAAAAAAAAAAATTACAGATTCACAGTAAAACAGATTCAGACACCGTTGGATGAATGTACGTAGGCTTGGGGAAAAAAAGAGAATATAAAGAATAAAGTTAATGTCTTAAAAAGAAAAAGGGTAAAGTCTTTAAAGAGACAGAGTACAGAAGTACAGATAGTTATAGATTAAGAGAAATAAAGAAAAATAAGCCACGTAAAAATGAAAAATTCACAGAGAGTCTGGATTATGTACATTGTGTTTTCTTTAAAATTTTTGACTGTGAAGGAGCTAAGTACAAAGAGACATTTTATTATATGGGCTGCTAAGCTGAACCTGCACATATGTTCTAAAGGTATCTTGACTTCAAAATTTGGATCTAAGGATATGATGCTTTGGAGAGGGTCTTCTTTTGTTTCCACAGAGGATGTGACCCTATGGATTGCATCTATCCCGGTATGGTATGATAGACCACGCCCTCCTGAAAGGTTGCTGTGAACACCCTCAAAAAATTACTTCACTCAACTGCCAACCGAGATGAACCTGACACACAGGTTACACCCTAAATGATCTGATTAACAGTGCCCCCATTCAGCAGGAAGCAGTTTGGAGAGAAAAAACTACGCCCATGTTCCCAAATATTGTTTATAAATGTTCTTTTACATTTAAAGGGGGATATGATATAGATATGAATAATTTGCATTGGTATGGATTTTAAGGTCAATTTTGTTATATGTATATGTATTTTTGAACTTGATTAAGGTATTGTGATTATGTAGTTCACTTAAAATGTAATGTATAATTAGGAAATATAGGTTGTTAATGGATAATCATTGCTAATAGTTAAGCTTGTAGTCATGTTAGTTAGATTTTCTAGATATATAGAGATATATTTCAATTAGATAGGCATTCTTCATATCTTTCAAAGACTGCAGAATATGGCATTTAAAATATTTTAATAACTTAGGACTTTTCATGACAAGGAGACACGTCTGCTCCTGGCAGCACCAGCTACTTCAAGAGGAAGATGGGCATCGAAGAGGATCCTTATGGAGTTGGATAGTCATTTGGGCAAGAAACTGCTCTTGCCTGGACTGTTGCATAAACTGGACACAGAGAACCCGCAGAGAGAGGACTGCTGAACTTGCCTAAAGGTGAGATGGTCTTTCGGGGTTCCTGATTCATGAAAGAGTCTGCGAGACATTCTGCAGGACACAGCAGAAAATGACTGAACTGTCTTTGAAATTTCCTGCTTCATGGAAATGTCTCTGGATACCATGGGCCTGTAGGCCGAAGATGGATGCCCCAACGGTACAGAGGAACTTTGGGTGACTGTCCAGGCAGCGAGATGTCTCTGTCATTTCTAGAGTTTTCTTATTTCTTGTTACTTAAGTATTATTATATCCTTCTGGAGTCTTTGATGGAGTTGAAGAATGAATAGTTATAGTTTTCCTTAGTTATGGTGAGAGATAAAATAGATATAAATATTGTAACTGTAATTCTTACTTGATAACTGTTTTGTTATATGTAATTTTACTGTTAAAGTTAAAGCCTTTCTTTTTTGTTTAAACAGAAAAAGGGGAAATGATGTGGGAATAGTTTCTTATTAATAAAGAAACTGCCTTGGCCCATTTTATTGGATAGAAAATTAGGTAGGCGGAGTATACAGAAGAGAATTCTGGGAGAAAGAAGGTTAGAGGAAGAGTCGCCATGGTTCTCCCGCTCCAGACAGACGCAGGTTAAGATCCTCTCTGGTAAGCCAGCTCGTGGGCTACACAGAATATTAGAAATGGGTTAGAACAATATGTAAGAGCTAGCCAATAAGAAACTGGACCTAGCCGGGCCAGGCAGTGTTTGAAAGAATACAGTTTCCGTGTAATTATTTCGGGCATAACCTAGCAATGTGGGCGGCCGGGTGCTGGGGACGCAGCCCCGCCGCTCCTATTTCAACAACTTACAGCAACTTGATATGCACAGACTCAGTGGACTCTAGCAATCATCTTTATTTCTTGGTAGGCCTTAAAGGGACGTGAGCACTGGTGGCTCCTCATGGCCAAGCAGGGCATCCCTGTCCCTGGCAGCTCTCCTGATGGCTCCAACTGATGCTGCTCCTCTTTGGTTAACCTAAGAACAGTGGGATCAGGTTGCTGACACCCAGAATCGCAAACACTCTTACTCAGACAGACACCCTCTTGTCTGCACCTGCAAGCTCCAGGTGGCTCCCTCAGAACGTCCCAGTACTGGAAATTCCTGGAAGCCTGGATCCCCCTTCTCAGGGTATCTCCAAGGGCCCCCACTTACTTCTCTCTAGTCTCTGCTTCTGTTCACTGGGTGCCTATGTCTCCCCTGTCATTCTGACTTTCTGGGATGCTCTGGGACTGCCCCCCCAATTCCTCAAGCCTACGAGAAAAGCAGAGAGAAGAAAATGAGCAATTGCCCAGGGCATCAGGGAGGAAGAGTCAAGACAGAGGCCTGAAGATCAGAGGCGCGAGCTGACGGGCGTGGTCCTCCTCTCACCCACAGTTGCCAGGGGGGTTCTGGGCCTCCCTAGCTGTCTGCAGCCTCTTCTCCACTTCCTGCAGTCTGGCACACAGCAGAGTCCCTGCAGGCAGCGGTGGCCATCAGGGGCGGTTCCCTGAGGCCCTGTGCCCCACCACCCATCACCACCCTGGCCTCACTCTCCGTCAGCAGCTGATCCTGGTTGTGTTCCATTGTGCTGATCTCCTGGGTCAGCCGCTGCTGCAGGACCTGCGAGGAAAGAGGCCCGTCTCTCTGTTCTTCTGTCCTGATTACACCTCCAGTTCATCCCTCTCTGCGCTTTCGATAAAGTCCTTCCTTACACAAGGTCATGCACTCATTCTTTAACTCTGCAGTTTCTGCTGTGGCTACAGACTCACTTCAGCCCAATGTGCCCATATTTCTCAATCTACTTCTTACAACTCTTCTGATCCCTACACCCATTTGCTGTTCTTTGAATATTCCAGGAGTTCGGCCTTTCTCAAGAAGGAACACTTCTACACTCAAGTGTTCAACACATGTGGTCAGATACCGACAGGTCAAAGGCGGTGCCCCAGGCTTACAGGATCTATCTACTTTGCCTCCTTGGCTGGACTCTGGGTCCCCTGCCCCTTGAGGCAGAAAGGGCCTTTTCGTGTACCACTGTCCCTCCCTGCCTGGAATGCTGTCTGATGCTCCCATCTGCAGCTGAATGAACATTTCCTCAAGGGTCCCATGGGCCACTTTCAGGAGACGCAGAATCCACAGAAGCTATGGCAACAGCCAGCAAAGGGCGCTAGGTATGGAAGAGGGGGTGGGGAAAAGCAGCCAGTTGTGGGGCCAAAGGTAACATGAAGAGAGGAGTCAGGGTCTCTCCCAGGATGTTGGGCCTAAGCAGGGGTGGGGGATTGGGGGTGAGGGGGTGGGGTGGGGATATGCTAAAGTCCTGGGAGGAGTGGAGGTTGAAAGGGACATCATGGCTTACATGGAACTCCCAGAGGTCCTTGCGCTGATTTGTCAGATCCTCCACTTGCTCCTCCAGTTGGCCGTTTGCATTCAACCTGTGGACAGATACCCAGAACTGTGTCCAGGGCCCAGTCAGTCCGTCAGGCCTGTGGCGCTTCCTGCCCAGTGCTTCCTTCATGGTTCTGTAAAACCCTCCTCTTCATCACCTTTTCTTCATGTGAGCTCCACTCCCACCCGACTTAGCTGTCCATCCAGACCCCGGTTCTAGGAATAACCCTAGCTTGCTCCATCTGAATCCTGACAATGGAACTGTATACTTCCTGGGAGGGGACAGATCATTTGCCCTCAGATTCTGCCTGAGCCTCCACTTTTTCCATGAATGCTTCTCTTCTTTTGTTACGAGTGATCCAGTCTGGATCCCTTTGGGAGACCACAGCCCTGTCCATTAATTCCCAAGAAAACTGTATGAGGGTGCAGGTGGTCAAACTGTTGATACGATTCTATCACCACCACTTCAAGGCCAGGGAAGGATCCTGTCTTGATGCTCTGTTTTAGAGAAGGGAAAGAGGAATGTGTATTGTGTATCCATGCTTCCTCATACTAGCTTCTGCTCTCTCCTCCTCAAGCGGGGGCAGAGCTGGGGAAGACTCTTACCACTGAGTCTCATTTTCCCTCTCTTGGCAATGCTTCTGGAGAATCATCAGAGCTTCTGTGGAGAAAGCAGACAAGAGAGACAGATGGGGGACCTTGACTTTGGGGGAATAAGGTTGGGCAGAGTCTGGAGGCCCCACATGACCTTGGATGTTGGTGGGCACTCACAAGGCTTGGGTATATTCTCCACAAGAGCAACCAGGGAAAGAGTTGAGAGAAGCCTGGGGACCCAGCTTTCAGCGGGACTCCCATGGCTGCTCAGGGGGCGGGCTTCGTGAAGCAATGGGAAGAATGAAGAACGGAATACCTTGCTTCTTGCCCAGGACCTCCTCTAGGTGAGCTTTCTCGTCATTCACTGGAAAACAACGTTGACACTTTCAGCCTCTGGAGCCTACATCCCATACCCCCACTGCAATTTCATCCAGGCGGAAAATTCACACAGAAGATGGGGAGATGGAGGTATCTTTCTCCTTCCCTTGCAACCTTCTCCCACAGGGGCCACCTCCCCTCATGCCCCCACACCCATGTTCTCTGTAAGTGCCAACAGAGGCAAAGGAGCAACTACCCAAAGGAAGTACAAGTTCATTCAGGAAGAAAGAGTGAACTGTTAAAGAAACAAATATGTCAGGTAAAAATAGATAGGCTCCGAAGGAAGAAATGAAGCAAAAGCAGAGGGAGGGAGAAGTGGAGATGGAGAGGGGGTAGGATTCTGTTTTTAGATGAAATCATCAAAAATGGGCTCATCAGGGCTATCTGAGCTGGGAACTGAAAGATAGCAGGATGTAGTGGGCAATCTGAGTTGTATGGGTTTGGAGGACCGCAGGTGGGGGCACAGCCTGTGCAAAGGCCCCGAGGCCTGTTTGGAAATGCCAACAGCGGTCAAGGGATCCCTGGCTCCTTCTTTTGGTCCCACTCACAGGAATCTAGTTCCTGATTCATGGCTTCCTGGAGTGCTTGGGCCTCTCCCAGTTCCACACTGGATCTCCTCTTTTCTGGACCAAAGAAAGGAAGAAGGGATCACGTGAGTACAGCCCTGGAGTTTTTCCTACAGCTTGTGGCATGGTTTACTCTTTTCTCTGACAGCCCTGGGTGGAGGTACGCCCAGTCCAGGCTCCTTCCTGCTGGTATCCACCGGCCAATATAGGTTCCCACATTTACCTTGCTGCAGCTCATTAATTCGATGAATCAGGTCCTCAATCTGGGGTTCCAGGCATCCCTCTGAAGAAGGAAGGCAGATTGAGGCAGGAAAGGCAGATGCTCGGCTGTCCTGGGTGGGAGGAGGACTCCTATCTGGTGCTGGGTTTCTACTGGTAGCCAACCACAGGCTCCTAGGGAGCAGCTGCTCTGCATTGGGATCTGTGACAAGTCCTTGCAGGGCTTGCATTCTCAGTGGGGTGGGGTGGCAGGCTGGCTATGACTCAGTCTGGGGGAAGTACCAGTTACAAAGATGACACCAGGTGAGGTGTTAAAGACCAGATAAGTATTGGTGCTTCTTGAGATATGGAAACAGGCCCTGTGCGCCATGGGGAGGCGTGTGTGGTTAGATGGATGGATGGATAGATGGATGGATGGATGGATAGATGGATGAACACGTGGACAGATGAATGGATGGATGGGCTGATGAATGGCGTGTATGTGTATTTCTCTCTCTCTCTCTCTCTCTCTCTCTCTCTCTCTCTCTCTCTCTCTCTCTCTCTCTCTCTCTGTGTGTGTGTGTCTATGTGCCTCTGTAAGTGGAGGCTTTTCCATCCTCTTAAAGATTTTTAATTTTTAGCTGTGGGACTTGATTTTCAACTCAAAGAATAAGTCTGTGCCAAGATCTCCTGAGTAAATTGGGAGCATGTGGATCATGGGGGAGGGCAGAAGGGTAGGGAAGAGGAAAGGAGGGGATGGAGAAAAAGATATAGCCCAATAAAATCAATAGGCAAAACAAACAAGCAAAAAGAATAAGTCTGTGCAATAAGATTGTTTTCCAGAGCCATGGGTGGAGGGTTTTAGATTCTAACTCTGCTTGCCTGACTCAAAATCTAAGACTCAGACATAGGATACCTGACCTTTCTGCAGCTTTTTCACTGTTTCCAGCAAGTCTTCAGTCTTACTCAGAGATGTGGCCTGTCCTGTAGAAAGGAAAACCAGAATTACAGGACCCAGTAGGAGTAAAGGTAATGCCAGGGAATACATAAACCCCAGTAGAGGAGCAGCGAGGATTCTGTAGAGACTCCTGGGCTGCGGCCAAGGCTGGGCTGAGGGTCAGGTTTCCATCAGAGCAGGGCACCCAGGGAACCCTGTTCTCTGTATCTACGGAGCATGATGTATAGCCAATGAATCAGCTTCTCCACAAGAGGACAAAAGACACTCCAGAACTCCCCGTGGTCCAACTCAGGCTAAGAATGTATCCCTGACTCTGCCGCTGCTGAAAGTCATGGGGAAGTTCTAATCCATGTGACAGGGAAGGCAGATTACATACTGATTTCTTTAAAATTAATTATAGCCCTAATTGGTAAATTCTAACGAACTGATGGGTCTAGACATGGCTACGCGTGTTGCATGTTGTGTGTATGTTGCTGTACATATGTATCAGACTATGGGGAGGTGCATTTGTTCATGTGGACAAATTTACAGGACAGAAGCCAACTTCTCTGTCACATGCCAATGTACTTTTGTGACATAGTCTTTCACTGTACGTGGGACTGTTCATGTCAGCTGGACTACCCAGCCATCATGAGCCTGGAAACTGACTCATATCCAACCCTCATCCCTGCTCACCCTGGGCAGGGGTTACAGACTCTGACTGCTGTACTTGGTGTGGGATCTGAACTCAGGTCCTCAGGCTTGTGCAGCAAGCACTTTACCTATGCAACCATCGCCCCAGTCCCTAAGCATTTTAAGCAGAAAAAAGTGGGTTGAGGAACCTCTTGATGGACAACCGAAACACTGTTTATGAAAGCATAAAAGACCCCCAACACCATGCTCAGTCCTACTTCAATTTGATATGCCATGTTTTGTTGATATCCATGGGAGGGCTGCCCTTTTCTGAATAGATATGGAGGAGGAATGGGTGGAGGACAGAGAGGAAGTGGGCAGAGGACTGGGAGGAGAGGAAGAAGGGGAAGCTGTGGTCACAATGTAAAACAATAAATAAAGAAGAAAAAAAAGAAAGATCCCACCAAAAAAATTGGAATTACACCAAGATTTTGACATTTTTTATAGTAACCCAATATACATACAAAGAAAGGACAGGTGAACATGGTAATAATGCTATTGGGAATCAATTCAATATTATGAAGACTAGGAATCAATACATACAGACACACACACACACACACACACACACACACACACACACACACATGAACATGCAGCTGTACCGTAGAGGGATTGGGGGAAAATCCAACATTAAGAAAAACTTGTATCCACATTTCTCAGGCCTCATTTAAGAATACACACACACACACACACACACACACACACACACACACACTCACGTGTACATGCAGATGCACCGTGGAGACTGGGGGAAAACCCCACATTAAGATTGTACTCATCTTTCTCAAGCTTCACTAGAGGCAGGGACAGAGCCAATCACTAGAGGGCAGGACCCAGGGACCTCTGTTCAGCTTAGTCTTGTCCACCCCTCCTCCCTTCAGATTGTTTAAAGGCACAAGGAAGATGGTGGGAAATATGCTACTGTCCTTGCCAGGAACGGTGACTTGTGACTTCATTCTTCTCCTAAACCCTCAGTTCAGTTTCATAGTTCATCTTGTGTCTGCTTTCATTCCTGAATCTTGGTGAACTCCTTAGGTTTAACCTCTTGGCCTCAAAAATACTGAGCACTTGCATTACCTATCTTCTTATTACACTGTAATTGGTTATGCACTCTTATGTGGAGCCAGTGTAAGAACCTCTCCTCTCGACTTTTCGTACAGTCATAGATAACTACTAAAAGTCAACAATGGAAGAGCTAGCAGCATTAGGAGATATTCCCATCAGTCAAGTTAACAGTTTCTTCCTTGAAGCTGTAGAATTTAACAGTCAACTCTGTTTGGGGTGTAAATATCCTAAGGCCAAAGATCCTAAGCCCCAAAGTGTGGGGCTGAATAATTTTGAACATAATCCCAATATTGAGATCTAAAATCATGGAAGTTGATCTCTTAGATTTTCAGTTAATATTGTAAATGTCTTCAAACATGAGTTTGAGCCGGGTGATGGTGGCGCACACCTTTAATCCCAGCACTCGGGAGGCAGAGGCAGGCGGATCTCTGTGAGTTCGAGACCAGCCTGGTCAACAGAGCTAGTTCCAGGACAGGCTCCAAAGTCATGATGCATACTTCTATAGACGTTTCAGCATGAGCCCATACTACTTTCAAAATTCAAACAAACAGTCCTAGGAAAAATGCCACAAATTCTTGAGATCAACGATAAAAGCTCAAATCCCAGTGACCTGCACCTTTCCACAGAAAGCAGGACAGAGAAGAAATATAGCTCATAAACACAGACCACAGGCAGAAAGTGCTTCTCCACAGCAGTAAAGAGTCCCTTGGCCTCAGACCGCAAGTTCCCAGTTCCTCTCCTTAGAAGTCATTCAGTGACCCAAGCTGTTGCTTGACATACAGGCAGACACCCTTTCTCCACAGGCAGGACACTAAGTCACGCAGGATGTCATAGCTCTCCTGGTTTTCACTTGACAAATGCTCAGTTTCTTCTTCGGTGGCAGTGCAGTCTTTCAGTGTACATATGCCGTAATTTAAGAGCAGGGTCCTACTGCTGTCTGTAGGCTGTCTCCTTCACAGCCACAAATGTGGCACGGTTACTGTTTCCTTTTCTCAGCTGCAGAGACAAAGTACTATAAAGTAGGTCCTCCCTCTGTGTCTGATGTCACTGTGCCCCATGTTTCCTTTCTCTTGTAAGGATATTTACCACTGAATTAATAATGTTCATCCTAAATCAGTATGACCTCATTCTAAGTAGTTATATCTACAAAGATCCTATATGCTGGTTACTTCGTATTTTGTTTGGTCTGGATGTATATCGATAATACCTGCATGTACATCTGTGCTCTACATGTCTGGTGCCCAGAGGTCAGAAGAGGAGTCAGATCCCCTAACTGGAGTTATAGAAGGTTGTGAGAAGCTGTGTGGATGCTGGGAATCAAACCCAGGTCATGTGGAAAAGCAGCCAGGTGCTCTTAACCACTGAGCCCTCTCTCCTGCCCTGACAGTTTTAATTATCAACTTGCCAGAACCTAGAATCACTGGAGAAGAAAGCCTCGATGGGAGAGTGACCTAGATCAGGTTGGCCTGTGGGCACGGTGCTGGGGGATTGTCTAGACTGTTAGTTAATGCGGGAGAGTCCAGCTATGGCTATACTAGTCCCCGAGCTAGGGTCCTGACAGAGAGGAAAAGGCTGACTGAGAGCAGGGAGCAAGAAGGCAACATGGTGGCACGTGTTTCCCTCTGCTCTTGGCTGCGGGTGTGTGGCATGCTGTGTGGCGCAGCTGCTTCAGTTCCTGCCCTGACTTCCCAGCTGTGATGTGATGTAGGAGTCTTCTGTTTTGTGTTGATTTCATTGGTTAAACAAAGAAAGGCCTTGGCCCTTTAATAGGACAGAAAATTAGGTAGGTGGAGTAAACAGAACAGAATGCTGGGAGAAAGAAGCCGAGTCAGGCAGTTGCTGTGATTCTCCTCTCGGACGCAGATGCACGTTAAGATCTTTCCTGGTAAGCTACCACTTTGTGGTGCTACACAGATTATTAGAAATGGGTTAATCAAGATGTGAGAATTAGCCAGTAAGAAGCTAGAGCTAATGGGCCAAGCAGTGTTTAAAAGAATACAATTTGTGTGTTGTTATTTCGGGTAAAGCTAGCCGTGTGGGAGCTGGAAGGCGGGAAGCGGCCCGCTGCTCCTCACTACAGTGATGCACTATCCCTGGAACTGTACGCCAAATAAACTTTCTCCTCTAAGTTGTTTTTTTATCAGAATAGTTTATTACAAAGACAGAAATGAAACTAGAACATTCTGTTTTCAAATAAGGTCATTTTTTGGCATTTTTTTTTTTTTTGCAACAGCTTCATAGGTATGTATCATGTATAATACTTTGAAGCTCTGGTGGGCCCAAGCTGGGGAAGGGGTCATAGTTTTATTTCAATTAGTCTTTGGGATGCTGTCCATCAAACCTGGAACCCTGCACATGCTAAGCCATCTGGCCAGCTTGAGGGGCACACTTTTACCTAGTATCCACTCAACACATGCTTCTGCTTCCCTTGGTAGTGCTTGTGAAACACATCTGAATACTACTTCGAGACCGCACGCTACATCAGAAGCTGTGCCTATCACTACATTTGACTGACAAAACCAGTACCTGAGTTCAAGCTTTCTGGGACTCTGCACCAAGACGCTCTTATCTCGTCCTTATCAGAAACTCCATTCCAAAGAATGATCTTAAAGGCACCATTAAGGGAGGTAGACATGACCTTCTCTGCTCCAGTGCCAAACACAGGATCTCGTAGGAACCTGAAGACGCCTCAGAGCATCAGTTACGGCACACTGGTAGGGTGAAATTCTTTACAGCCAGTAGGAATCACATTGTGCAGCGGCTCTTCTGTTTGGTTTGCTTTTTTACCTTGGGCTCGTCTTGCTGAACGCTGGGCGCTTGTTCATCTTCTTCCCATCCTTTTTTTTCTCGCTATAATGAACTAGGAATCATTTGTTTGCCTTTGCACTTTAATTATTTCTAGTTACTTAGACATGGATAGTAGAACATGGCATTAAATGTCCGTGGGATGGAGAGAGGGCTGAGAGGTAACAAGGACAGGAGTACTACTCTTCCAGAGGACCCCAATGTTCAGTACCCAGCACCTACCTCAGACAGCTTACAACTACCTGATTCCAGCCAGGGGAACCCAGTGCCCTCTCTGGCCTTCTCTGGCACCTGTGCTCATATGTACATACTACACACACACACACACACACACACACACGATGAAAATATAAGTAAAATCTTTTTTAAAAGTCTCATTTCACCAACATTCCCTTCTCAGAATTAATCACTGTCAGCAGCTCAGGGACTGTATTTTCATCTTTTAGAATAAATATATTTCACGTGTCATTTACTTAAAAAAATTAATACAGAAATAACATCCTAAAACTCCAAATACTACAAAATCTTTGAAGAAATAAAAATTCCCCTTCTCTTTGGTCCTGAATCTCCTTACCATGATACACTCATCTCTGCATATATGTATATTGGATATATCTCTTCCTGAGACATTCTTATTATTTAAAATCATTTTAATATTTTTCAAAGAAAGAAAAGCACATGGCAGAGAAAGGTGTTTTTCTGCTTAACATTTTATAAAAACTTTCAAACGCAGAGGGTGAGGATGTCAGTATGAACCCGAATATAGACGGCCCAAACACTAGGACTAGTAACATCTAGCCATCTTTGCTTCTTCTGCTACTCTACTCACTCCCAGTATGATCAGCAATCACCACGTGGTATCACCAACATTCAGACCATATGTAAGAGCCACGTGCTCTCCAGCTGGCCTTTGCAACTACTTCTGCAGAAGCTCCATCCATGGCCTTCCTCTCTCTGCCTTTTAACTGCTAGTCATAAGACCCCTGGTCAGTGATAAGAACAATTTAAATTTTTTTTATCTCTATTTTAACATGTTCGAATGTTTTTCCCTGCATGTTTGTCTGTTCACATGTATGCTTTATCCCTGTGGAGGTTTAGAAGAGTATATTAGAGTTACAGGGCAGCTGTGAGCCAGTGTGGATGCTGGGAATTGAATCTGGTCCTCTGCAAGAGCAGCCAGTGCTCTTAACTGCTGAGCCATCTTTCAAGCCCCCAAGTGATAAGAAAATTTTAATTTAAAGTTTTAAATCTAATATCTCTGTTCTAGAAATTCCTACAGCCAGTAGCCTTTGAGTTATCTGCCCACTTGGGTGTGGCCTCTTATACTATAAATGCCGATGTAAAGCACACATTTGCTTTCTTCTGGCTGCGGGGTTCAGTTGCTGTTCCCCATTCAAGCAGAGGACTGTGATCTGAGTCTATCCCTAAATAAGTAACCCTTTATTATACTCAATTCTGAGCTAGTGTGGGATTTCTTTTTAGCTTCGGTCTTCATATCTCTGTTAACTTAAAACAACAAAAACCTTCCCTATTACAAAAGAAGAGAGCCTGTGGAGGATAAGTCCCCTTTTTACCATTTTATTTCGAAATTATTTCAGATGTACACAAAAGTCGTAGAAATAAGCTGTGGTACTCTATTATCCCCACCATGTTTTGAGTGTTTTTCATCTGTAAGCTGCAGACAGTATGACCTACTAATACTCAATACTCCAGTGCATATTTCCTATATACAGAGACTCCAAGTAACTGCACAATAGCCATTAAAACCTGGGTGTTAACATTGGTCCGATGCTAATGTATAATCCTCAGGTGCTGCTCAACTTTCCCTTTCCCTCTTAATTTTAAATTATGTATTACTACCTAGTTTTCTAAGCAATAAATAAAATAAAATGAATCACAAGAGGCCTCAATTTGCTCCCTGCCCCCAAATCCAAGGCCCTTAACCAGTTATAAAAGTGTGCTTACCTCAGACACCTTCCAGGAAGCTATTCTTGACAACCCCAACTACTCAATAAGAAAAAGAAAACATCTGGGGCCCATCTTTTATAAATGAACCATCATATCAACTGAAAATTATGTTTCTCCCACCTCTTTCAAAAATCTACAATCTACATGACTCTCCCTAGATTTGGTCATTTTTGTGACCAGTTCTTGTATCCCTGCCTCTGTCGGTAAGTCACCATTGACCACTCTTGGTCCATGTGTTTGGGTGGTTAATTTCCTGTGATTACCTAGCAGGGAAGCTACAGATGTGGAAGAGCATCTGCTAAAAACCTAAGCCTCCACCAGCAGGCCTGGATGCCATTGGTGCTAAGTATGCTCCCCCAACCTGATATTCGTCCCAACTTCCTCCAGGGCCGGTGAAGTCCCTGATTAAACATGAGGAATTTGAAAGTTCGATGCTAAGATTTTAAATCTCTGTGGCACTGTATCAACCTCTCAGTAAAGTGTGATTCACTGTTGTCTTTTCGATTTTCATTATTCTTTGAAAACGGGCACCCAAATGAGACTACAATTTAAGACGGATTCTGTTAAAATGATTTTATCATTCACCTATTTAAAAAAAGAAAAAAATAAATCGTGTATCAAGCACCAAGCAGGTGTTTTGGGTGCCCAGGGATACTGTGGGTCTTGTTTTTGAAGGTCACACTATTGTTTTGGAATCTGAATACACAGGTCTGGCCAGATGCTGCCTCCCATATTTGGTCACATGGTGACAGACCTGGTGCTCAGGAAGGGAAGGTGGATCTAGATGTGAAGACGTTTGAACCCACAGAAGCAGGGTCAGGGTCACTGGTCATGCTATTTTCTCTACTTTAGAATGTTTGGGAATTTTCTGTAATTAAAACAAAACTGCTCTACTGGTGGATTTACCGTGATACACATTTTCTTCGGAAGGAACTGCAATTTCCAGTAATTTCTAGGCTCAACTCCATCTCCTTGACCCCAACGAGGGGAGAAGCTTCATTACTTAAGTCAAAACAAATCTGAAAACAGTGTGAGAAAACCATTCTCAAGGGCCTTGAACAGTCCAAGTAATCATCTAGGCTGGCTGTAGCAACAGGGCAGTTTTTGTGAGAACATCACTATCCCTTCCCGATTTGCTTAGTAATGGATGCTGAAAAGAACTGCCCAAGTATTTAATAACGTCAATAATGTTGGCAAGTTAACCTAGGTGATGAGAACACTCAAGTTATTTATTTCCACTGTGTGGAAGTTAAAAATCTCAACAGGCTAAAAACATTTTTTTCTTTCTAAAAAAACTACTCTCGATTATTATATTGGGCCAAAGCCTTGCTCCCTTCTACCCTGTGGGCCCTCACTACCTCCAGCGTCCTCAGCTTCTTCAGCTCCCAGCCACTTGGCAGCCATTTCCCAACGTGGAGCATCTGCGCGTGTAGAAAAACAGTGGCTGGGAAAAGCAGCTCGTGCGGCCACAGCGATTGTAGGAAACCAGGGGGTGGGGCGACACAGGTATCTGCTCTGAGCAAGCGCAGAACATCTGCAACGCAACTGATAGCACGCATGCGCACAACCACAGGGCCATATGCTAAACTAGGCTGGGGAAGCAAGTGTGGGCTGTTGAGGAGGGTTGTGCGTGCTAGCTCTTTAAGGGTTCTTCTTTTCTTGCTGCTGCAAGCGGCCAACGTCCAGAACAAATGTGTTCGACAGAGTCCCAAGCCTTGTCCCGTCCACGTATCTCCAGTGAAAGGGCTGAAAGAAAGTTATCTCTCATGAATAGAAGCCTTAGAGGCTAGGATCATCTTCAAAAAGCTGCATCCCGGCCGCTGGGTGAAGTCACGTGGCATGTGTTACACTGGTAGACACTGGAGGCAAGGTTATTATTCGTGTAAGAAACAGCCCGAATCGGTGGGGCTTGGTGGTTTTTTTTCGGGGGGGGGGATGATGGAGAAAAAAAAGACATGAAGGACAGAGGGACAGAGGAATGTCTTGTGGGATTTAACTTTAGGCCCTTTCTGTATTTTTCTTTAAACAGCTCTAGGCTGGTTTCAAGACTAGTCCTGCACTGCAAATTCTTGAGTCCTTGTGGGTTACTCACCCCTACCCTGAGGAAGCCTCAGCCCAGTCTCAGGTCTGCTTGGAAGATGGACATGGAGCTACCTGTGCTGCTTAGAAGAGGCTGGGGGGGGGGGCAGCTGGTAAAGGGTGCAGTGGCATTCAGGTTAGTTAAGGGGGTGAAGCAGAGGGCAAAGGAGGTTTTTTACTTTCCTAGATGTGGAGGTGCATAAGGGGGCTCACAGAGCAACCTGTGTCCCCAGCTGCTGTGCCCCTTCTCCCAGTTACGGGCAAACCCTGAGATCTTGCCCACCTGCCCAGGACCAGCCCCACACAGACTTCTTCCCACATTTCCAGAGACAGAATTTAGAAGCCAAAAGTGGTGACTCCGGCAGTCAGTCAGAGTCCAGAGAACAAGCCATTGTTGGGGGCCTGGTCCACTGAGGTGGAGGGCGGTGTGGAGTACTTGGGGGGGTAACGGATGAAAAGCCGGTCCTCTTCCTTCCTCACCCAGCGCAGGAGCTTCGTCACCACTAAGATGGCACCTGCCTTGGTCACCAGGGGGCTGAGGCAAGTATAGAGCTCAAATTTGGAGGTCACCTGGGGAGATGGGGAGGAGACAGTCAGATGGGCTAGAGCTGGCCAGGTGTAATCCTGGCCTCCCAAACCCAACCTTGGGTGCTCCTGAAGCTTGGAGACATGCTTGGCAGCAACTGGCAGCAAGCTATGGCTTGCTGGGCTAAGGCAGGCAACCTAGGATTATCCTATCAAGTCAGACAAGAGGCTAGCTGGATCAGTGGCTCAACTGGATCGTTCTGACTCTGTGTGTGTGTGTGTATGTGTGTGTGTGTGTGTGTGTGTGAGTGTGCTTCTCAGTTTGCTTAGCTGTGGATTAGAGATAACAGTAACACCAACACTCAGTACTCAGTGAGCAATCATCACACACAAGGCTGTTCTGTCCTCCTTCCCCTATGCCCTTGCACACGTGGTCCTCACACCACCCCGAGACCAACCCCAGAGGTCTTCAGTTCCTTTTCTGTGCCACTTCCCACTGCTCTCCCTGGTGATCTCTTTCTGCCCCAGAACTTTGGTCTTTCTTTGCTGTTCCTCAAATGCAGCCAGCCGCAGCCCTGCAGTCTCTTCTCCCCCAGGCAGCTCGCCACCTTCACTCCAGTGGGAAGTCATTTATTCAGCAAACCCTCTCCCACACACCAATGTACAGCCCTGGGCCCACTGTGTCTTGGTTTTAAAATGCCAACTCTCTAGAAAAAGCTGGTGAGACTCCTTGGCAAAATGCCACGTCCAGGAAGGATGGAGTAAGTACAGTGAGCCAGCTGTGTGCACGGTGACAGAAATGTGCAGTGGAAAGCAGGGCCCAGGCTGCCCAAGTCATGGGGTCCACAGGCTAAGTCAGAAATAAGTGCAGTAAATGCTAGATACTATTTTAGACTACCAAACCCAAGAGAAACCTCATAGGGTCATATTTAAACAATATAAAACTTGGGGCCAGTGAGAAGAAGGCACTGACAACCTGGGAGAAGGGAGGGTAAGGGTTCCCACAAGCTGTCCACTGGCCTCTACACTTACCAAATGTGTGCACACATACATGCTAACTAAGGAAATGCAGTTCTTAATTAAAAAATCCAATATAAAGTCCCAACTATAAATGTAAAAAGTAGGGCAGTTAGAAAACTGCCAGCAGGCAAAAACCTAGTAACTGCTGTATTTCAAACCAAGGAGGCGTATTCAAAGAGGAGGAGGTGTATAATTCTAACACCCACAAATACAGAGTCCACAGGTGCCACAGATGCTAGTTACAAAGGAGAGGCACTTTATAGTAGAAACGTGCCACCTTAACTAAGCATCCAAGCGTGCTCCACATGCCCTGAAACAGTGCGGAAACTGGCTCGTGCCACTTGGTGCCTAACTTCTCACTGTGATCACGGTCCACCGTGACAAAGACCCGAGCCAAGGGTCCCTCTACAAGACAGCTTACTGATGTCCTTTCCAAGTGCCAAGGCCACAAAGCTTGGGGGACCTTTTCAGAACAGATGAGACCAGGGTACATAAGAAGCAGGTCCACCATGTGATCCTGGGCTGGGTTCTGGACCAGTAAGCTGACATGAACGGACAGCTGGCAGAAGGCCAAGGAAGCCTGTGGATTCTGTGTCACAGCAGTGGCAGCCACCTGGGTTTGGCACGTCACCACACTTTTGTGAACATTTACCTTTGGGGAACGTGAGTGCAAGGTCGTTTTATGATAATTCCTTATACTAGCTTTACTACTTCCAACTCCAGAGTTACTTGAAAATTAGAAACAACAAAAACCAAAAACCAAAATGCTAACCTAGAACCAGTGCTGGATCCATATGAATATGCACTGTTGTTTACAGAATGTGGTGGGGAAGGCTTTCCTTCCTATGGAACTGCCTGCCTGGCCACCAGCCTCCCTCAGTAGCTGATCTTGAACAGTCCCACAGGAAGGTCACTCTGGGGAGAGGGCACGGAGTGGTCCTGAACCTGCAGTGGTCAAGGAGAGCTGGGGACTCTATCCTGGTAGACAGGGAATTGGCAAGCGCAGTGACAGCTGCAGATGGGATCCGTGAAAGGCCAAGACCCTGTCTGTCCTGACTGCTCATGGGGAAAAGCAAAGGAATGGTAGGCCTAAGGTAGGACTGCATACAGTGAGAAATCCTTCTGTCATTTAAGATACGTGTGCCCGTAGAGTCAGCAGTGCAGACAGAGGCAAAGTCTGGGCAAGTCCCTGTGTGCCTAAGGTGGGTACTAAAGCTAAAGGTTCATCTCAGGGAAAGCAGGCCTGCAGTAGGGAACTGATTTGCTGACAGCCTGACCAACTCACCCAGGCCAGCAGCGTCTCCTTCTCAGCCACGTGGTAAATGAGGCGCAAGGGCCGGGAGGTGCTATGGAGGCGAGCGTGCAGGCGGTGATACAGGTCGGACAGCCGCTGTCGCTCCTCCCCGTGGCTATACGGGGCCTCTAGCTCAGGACTGCAACAGAGGGAAGCAGTAGCTCTGTGAGTTGGCGTTGGGCCTGCCTCCCAGCACAGTCTAGGGACTACAATTAGGTTACGGGGCTCAGCCTCCCGCCTTAGGCTTGAGGGTTTTTGTCGGTTGTAAGCCAAGCTGCCTCCATTAAACTAGGAAGGAGGCCCTTTCTCCCACTAGAACAGAGAACTGTCTGCTCCCCCTTTCTAGGGCACGGCTGGCTAGCTCTCCTAACTCATGTGTATAAGACGCTGACAGTCCTGGTTAGACATGTCTTCAATCGCCTGCAGGGTCAGGGCCCACCTGGTAAACTGTGGTAGCTGCCGGTGTTGGTCAGGGATGTCCAGTGGTTTATAGAGGAAATGCCGGAGGCCAGGTGCTCCCACAGCCTGCACACTGTAGGCAGGGGCACTGGCTGCAGGTCCGTTAGAGAAGCTGGCAGCCTCCCCAAGGGTACGCAGGGCACCAAGGTGGTGCATTCCATCTTCAACCAAGCGCCGGCAGGCAGCCATGGCATGGAAGGCTTCCCGGTTGGTACCAAGCAGTAGCAGGCAGACAGGCATGGAATCCAGGCGGGCCACATAGGCATAGAAGAAACCATCTGGGTTGAAGCGAGGCAGGCACACAGGTGCCCATGCCTCACCTGCTGCAAAGGCTGGTGCACCCACCCAGTCAAGCAGCAGCTGCAGATCAGCTGGGTCCAGCCGACACTCGGCCAGCACATTCCTCTCCTGGGCTGCTGTTATCAGTCGACCGCCAACAGCCAGCACCGACAGGGCCAGGCCCGGGGCTGTACAGCGCCGCAGAAGTGTACCCAGGGCATCCCGCAGTGGACGGGCCAGAGGCACACAGCGCACAGCACCCAGGAGCAGGGCACCAGGGTCTTGCTCCACACTGTCCAGGAGCCGGTCCAGTGTGCGCTCTGAGCCAGCCAGCAGACGACGGAGGTCATAGTTCTGCTTATGTGCGAAGATGCGGGCCACGCTTGCACGCGTGAGTGTGCTCACAATCTGTGCGTGCACTGCTAGCAGCTCGCCCCGTAACTGCGCTGCCGATTGTGGAGTCCGGGATACAGCCACCAGCAGGAGTGGGCCCTGCTGCAGGAACACCAGCTTGTGGTCCTCTAGGGGAAGGAAGAGTGGGCGGGGGCAGAGGCAAACCAGGAATGAGCCAGGGATCAGACAGGACAGCTTTCCCAAACACTCTCCGACACATACAGCCCCTGGCCTGAGCCCGAATTCGGACTCCGCCAGCACTCAAATTAGGGCACGGACAAGCTGGTGATATTGGGATGTTTGCAGAGATACGTGGGCTGTGGAGGAATCATGTAATTTAGGCAGACAACAGGGAGTCAGGGTGGTGGGAATGGTAAACCAGACAAGGACAGAAACAAAGCCAGGCCACACAGCACACCTCTGCAATCCCAGATAACCTGGTGGTATACTGCCAGCCACATGGATGGAACCCAAAGAGATGCATCTCCCGACAGACACCCTCACTGACTCACTTCTGGTGGCTAGACAGAGACTCACGTATACAGCAGACAGGCAGAGCTACCCACGGCTAGTTACAGACCACCGAACTCCTAGCCCTATTCCCACCAGCCCCATTATGTCCCCCGTTCTCCTCACTCACCGGCGTAGATGGCTCGGATGGCATCTCCTGCACTCTGTACGAAGGACACGAGGGCCGTCATCACACCCATGGTGGCAGACAGGGCCTCCACACTACCATACCGTGAGTAGATGGGCTTGCCTGCCTCGCTCAGCACAAACACGTGCTTCCTTTGGCTGCGCCAGTCCTCATCACTGGGGTCCCCGTCACTGGGATCCCCGTCACTGGGGTCTCCATCACCAGGGTCTTCTCCCTGGCCCTCAGTGCTACTCTCAGGATCTCCAGGGGGATTGTCGTCGGAAGCTGCAGTTTTCCAGGGCTCACAAGTGCTTGCCGGGGCCTCAGCCGGAGGCAAAGGTGGTAGGAGGCTGGCTGGCTGGTCCTCGGCCTTGGATCCTGAAAGGGAGCCCTGAGTGGCTCATCTCCTGCTAATCCCGTATTTCAACAATCTATCAAATCCTTACCAGCCCCGACCCTCAACAACCCATGCATGCTGACAAAGATCTCCATAGTCTTCCTAGCTATTCAGTGAACAATGGGTGACGATGGCTGGAACCTTCCTACCTGTGTCCACTAAGGTTTGAATGAGCCCCACCCGAAAACACAAATATTCCAACATGTTCTCACTGTCGTTTACTGGTCCCCCCATTATTTCCTTTCAGCACTGCCATTCCTAGGTCTTCAAAGCGCCCCACTCTCCAAATGAGATTAATCTGTTTATCTGCAGTGGCTCTTCACTAACTTCTCTGACCGCTTGTTTGTTCTGATGTGTACTTAACCCCTCAAAGGCCACCAGTAAAATACACCCACGGACTCTCCTAATCCTTTATACCCTCCTCCACATCCACCAATCCCCAGTGATGACTACTGATACTCTTGGTTAACCACACTCCCAGTAACGATCCTTAATTCTCACAGTAGAGTGGCCATTAACAGCCACTGACATCCA